ATGATAGATTTCACAAAAAAAACTTTTGTTGAAGAACTTGTATCCTTCGATATATTCATAAGCAGCTACGCGTTGGGTCGCACGTGACACCTGACAATACTAGTTTAGTCCTTTGATTTTATTTTTGCAAAAAGAGAAAACGAGAAAGGAAGCAAAAATGTAAACTATTGTTAGACATCACGCATAATACTGCCGTGCAATCAATTACATATTTCACAGCCAGTTCGAACAAGCTCCTCCGTAAAAATATGTCGGAGGACATAAGATTCCTTAACAAAAATTCTTTTGATGACTTACCATCCTCTAAAATTTATATTCCATGGAACCTAAAACATCCTGTAAGATATATGTGTATACATATAAAGTATGTGTATATGCATAAAGGCAAAAAATGGCAGAAGACTATTAAGACCATAACAAATGATCTAGGTCCATCAGATGTCGACCGTTGCCGTTAGCTGCATAATTACTCGTCCTATAATTAAACGGGTTCAGTATGTTACGTCACAAACGGAAAGTTGGTCACTACGAGGTAACAGTACAACATTGTCCCCGATGCTCTACTTCGGAAGTCACCCGTCGAACGCTTAGTTAGAAAAGTTGCAGGCTCGGTCGTTATTCCTATTCAAGCGCGCACGTCGGCTTTTTTTGTCTTTTATCGAAAACGATGCGCATGTAAATGAGAATTAGTAGTTGATAACATCAGTATCGACAAGGACGAAATAAAACTGTCTCTCCCTAGTCTAAATTCGTATTTGGAACTGGTTACTAGTGAAGGCAATCGTACGCAATAAAGTGGCATGAAATGCGACTGCGCGCAACGAAACGTGCAGATTTGCACGACAGAGCTTGCGGTCAGCGAACGAGGAAATTACAACGACGACGTAGTTATCGGCAAAGGACAGCCCCGGGCTGTGTGCGATCATTTCTATGGAAAGTGATATGTCCAGCGAGCCCTCATTCTCGGTACATCCCTCCGCCATAAGTCGAACCGGTCTATTGTACGCGGAAGTTCAATCTCTCCCCCTGTTATTCTCACGCACCACAAATCATAGTTGGAATTTCAACTATCATCGCTGGATGTTACAGTTATATATCGTTATTAAACGTGTTTCACCAATGTTGCCAAATATTTGTTCAGTTATAATTAAAGAGATGAGTTCAGGAACGAGAGGATATGACTTTTGGCTCCAAAGTAATCGATCCGGTTTTAGGATATAAATTCTCGGATAAATTCTCTTCATTATACTCCGCTATATTTCAATACAGCAGAATCAAATGAAAAGAATTATAATTTTTTTCTGAATAGAGTAAATCAAATTTTGGAAAAGAAAAATATATATTTCTTTTCGTCCGCTCGTCCTGCTTTCTTAAGTTTGTGCTGACAAACTCACCATGGTCGAGCTTTCTCAACGATCGTAAACGTGCGTTTGAATTCAGAGTAGACTGCGTATTTTTACGGTTTTTTTACGAAGCGTGAAATTCCTGCAACGTGACGCACGCAACAACTGCCACCAACGGTTTGTCGCTTTTCACCTTACTTTGCCACGAGACGTGTCGATAAGGCTTCTAGACTTCGTAAGCTCATTAAAAGATTTCACGACAGTGCCGTGGGTTCTCCAAAGTTCGCACGGCGCATGACAGCGTTCCTAAATATCTAGTAAATTCAATACTGCGTAACTCAAGCATTATATTCTCCTGTGTAATGTCATACAATCTTAAAGAGTAATAACTCTATACATTACATTTTGTTATGTATATTTGGCGTTTACTAAAAAATTAAATATGCAATATTACAATATTACATTCGATATTCATAATCACTTAAATATTATTTATATTATTTATATTAACTTTAATGCTAAAGTAATCCTGAATCTAAAAATGATTTGTTTATCTCCTATCCAATAATTAATAATACAACTCATAATTATTCTTAATACACATTAATTGAAGTAAATAAGCCTATCTCATAGCATAAACAAAATATTAATGTATTCAGTACATGAAATTAATAATAGTACAAGTTTCGACTTATTCAATCATCTTCTGTCGCATTCTCTAAGAATATATATTTATACAACTAAATCGTTGTCATTTACACTTTTATAAACTCTTGACAAATGTAGTGTCTTTACCTAGATCTCTGTTATTTCTCTTTCCGGATGTTCCACTACTTTTTGCTATATTTATTATTATTATTAACATTTATGTTTATTGAACAATTACAATGAACATATGTTAATTATTGTATTTGATCAGAATTG